CCCGATATATGACCAGTCCTCGCCGCCTCTCCATCGAACTACCGGCAGTCCATGCTTCAAACATAGCTCCTGAGCTTGTTCAGCCCAACCACGACATCAGACGACAGCCCCAAACCTGACCAGATCCTCCCATCTGCACACCCCACAGCATCTACAAGTACTATCCCCCCCTGACCCGCCAGCCTGGTGGTGACACCGGCATTCTATCAGCCACACACGGACACCACTAGGAAGACCCCGAAGTAAGCTTTGTCGTCTACAAGCGTACTTCGTACACCACACGGCAAAATCCCTGACGCCATCACTGCCGTCTAGCCTCGTCTTCTGTATCCACAACACATAACCCTCTGGACATCGACCCCCTTGTTCACCTGGGCCCCCCATCTCTGCCCTGCTTTCTTTTTCCACACCCTGACACTCTTGTACCCGAGCATCCACCCAGCCATCACACACTCTCCATCACACTCCCATCACAAGACCGACTCCCATATATCCCTTCTCTTCCCAAGGATCTGGTACCCCCGCTCTCCAATTCTCTCAGTTGGTAACACCCAACACACAACACTCACCATGGGCGCCACCAACATCTTGATCTATCTGTTGAGGCACGACCTCCGCGTCTCCGACAACCCCATCTTCCATCACCTCGCCTCCGTCAAGGACCAAGGCTTCACCCACTTGGTGCCCGTCTACGTCTTTCCCGCACAGCAGATCGAGGTATCTGGCTTCATCCGTGATGGATCCAAGTCGCCATATCCCGAGGCACGGAGTCAGCTTGGAAACTACTGGCGTTGCGGGCCGCACCGTGCCAAGTTCCTCGCCCAGTCCGTCTGGAACCTGAAGAAGTCACTGCAGACCCTCGGCAACGACCTTTGCATTCGTGCTGGCAACTTTGAAGACACACTCGAGTCTCTCCTTAAGGGCTTCGCCGAGAAGAAACAAAAGGTTGGCGCCGTCTGGATGGTTGGCGAAGAGGCAGTCGAGGAGAAGCGCGACGAGCGTGACATTGCTCGGCTCTGCTCGGAGCATGGCGTCGACTGGAAGCTGTGGCAGGATGAGAAGTACTTTGTTGACGAGTGAGCCTGGCCGTCTCTCGATGATGATAATGATCCTTGACGCTAACTTCCGCAGCCAAGATAACAACCTCAAAGACCCCCAGGACCTGCCGGACGTTTTCACCACCTACCGCAAGACTCAGGAGCCTCTGCGTGAACGACCCCGTCCTACATTGCCTGCACCAGCCAAGTCATCGTTGCCTCCCTATCCCGACGAATCATCTGTCCCCGCACAATCCAAACCCTTCGAAGTTCCCAACTCCTATGATGAGCTAGAGTCGTCCTTGATGGAGCCGATCCGTGAGGTTCTCGAAGACCCTGTTGCGTTCCCCGAGGGCGCCAGCTCTGTCCACCCTCTCGATGGTGGCGAGGATGAAGCACAGGGCCGTCTGGCCCACCTCATTCGCTCTGGGGCAATGTCCAGCTACAAGGAGACCAGAAACGGCCTCCTCGGCGTGGACTTTAGCACCAAGCTTTCGGCTTATCTTGCACTCGGCTGCCTGACGGCCCGTCAGATTCACGAAGAGATGGCCGGTTACGAAGACGGAAAGATGGACAAGTTCAAGGATGTCACTGGTTACGGTGCCGGAGAGAACGATGGCACCCGGGCCGTGAGGTTCGAGCTCCTTTGGCGAGACTACATGCGTTTGTGCACCCGCAAGTTCGGCCCCAAGCTATTCCGCGACTCGGGCTTCCGCGAGGAGTACAAGGGCAAGTGGAAGACGGCGAACCCCGGCGTACAGGATGAAGTTGCTACTGTGCTTCAGAGGTTCATGGCCGGCACCACGGGAATGGGCCTGATCGACGCATCGCAGCGCGAGCTGTACCATACTGGGTACACGTCCAACCGAGCCCGGCAGAATGTCGCCAGCTTCCTTACCAAGCACCTCGGCATCGACTGGAGGTATGGCGCTGAATGGTACGAATGCCTCCTGGTAGACTACGACGTTAGCTCCAACTGGTCCAACTGGCAGTACGTCGCCGGCGTCGGTAACGACCCGCGAGGCGAGGCTCGCATCTTCAACCCTGTCAAGCAGGCCTTTGACTACGACAAGGACGGAGAGTATGTCAGGGCTTGGGTCCCTGAAGTCCGGCCCCTGGAAAAGCTGGAAAATGTGTTCCAGGCATGGACGGCGTCCAAGGCTGACCTGGACCGCCATCAATTGACGAACAATGTCATGGTGACACATCCCATCAAGAAGATTGAGTTCTCGGTGGAGGGAAAGCCCAAGGCCTCCAGAAGACCTTACATGCGCCGACGCGGTCGAGGAGGAAATGGCAATGGTGGTAACGGCGGCAACGGCAACGGCAGTGCAAACGGCAGCAACGGTCACGGAGGCGGAGGTTCAAGTCCGCCCAACGACATGAGCAACGGGCAGGCGTACCAGGCTGTCGAATACTACCCGCCTCAGGGTCAACAGTTTCAGCAACGGCCATATGACGCCTACGGTCAAGGACAGTATGGCAACGGCAGTGGCAACAACTGCCGTGGCGGCCCCGGCGGGACCCGAGGCCAGTATCGCGGTTACCGAGGTCGGGGCGGCGGCGGACCCCCTCGAGGAGGACGAGGCGGCGGCGGCCCATACATGACGGGTCGATGGACGAACGGGTATTCACCGCAGCCCCCTCCCTACGACGGTGGAGCGTACTATGGTGCGCCGATGAATCGTCCTCACTGGACAACGGCAAATCCAGGGGCTTGATTTGGACGAGCCAAGGGGCTTATGAGGCCTAATTGACCCGATGAGGTCATCACAAGAGAACACATTACGGAGTACAAAGGTTTGATCTCATCGGTATGTTGATGGGTTAGGTGCATAGTATGGTATCATATTTTAAATCTTACAATCCCTTGACGTCAATGATTGAAAGCCTTGTATCACCAATGCTCGCCGAGCTTCTCCAGCTTAACACCCTTGGGCACTACGAAGAGTCCCTCTGCCTCGCAGATAGTGATCGGGTGTGTAACACTACGCATGACCGCCCTGATCCAGACCTTTCTCTCAGTCTGTACCTGGTCCAATTCGACAGGTGCAGGAGGTTCCCCTCGGACTTTAGCCACATGCTGCGGAATATGTTGCCTAGTCTCGGGGCTTCCCATCCAGCCGTTTGAAACCAGTACTGATGCCTCCTCGCGGCGGATCCTGTCCTCCAGCTCCGCGGCTGCTTCCTTTGTCAGGACGTCCAGCTGGATTCTGTACATATGCTCGACTTCTGGCATCGCATTTGTGTTGTGTGTGATGATGAGCTTGGCGGTGACGGCCGTGTTGCTCGGCAGATGGCGCACGGCGAGGCGGCCCATTGACTATGGCGCACGATCATATTAGCAATGCCCCTTGCGTCTCGACTGCAGTACTTACCTCGTCGAGGACCGTCGCGATAGCGCCGTTATGGACCGAACGGGCAAAACCGCACTACCGGCAAGTCAGTACATGCATCTGATTAAGAAAGAGATGATGTGGGGTCTACTCGCCATGCGATTCCCGAAGGAGACAATCACGGAGAGGGCATCAGTCGCGGGGTCTTGAATCATCTGATAGATCCCGCCGAGAGTCTGCACACTGCCGTAGGTGCCAGCTACAAGGTGGTGCTTCCTGCGCCTGGCGACCGCGCTTCTCGTGTCAAGCCTGTCCAAGAGACGCATATGCGCAGGCCAGCTGACGACTTTTCCGTTATCGTCCAAGCTGCTTTCAGATGCGTCGACAACGACTGTATCGTCCGGGCGTATGACCATCTTTTGCCCTTCGTATGTGATATTGGCAGGTTTCAAGTGGGCGCGTTGCTACAAACGACGACAGACAGTCAGCAATTGAGACCTTCTGGGTGGGTCTTTTTGTTGTATTCTTGCAAGTCTCATGTGAAATTGTTGCGTGAATGGGCGAGGCAATGCTTCCGGAGTAAGTACTTGCCAAATAAGTGACCAGGCCCGACGGGTGGACCATGAGAGAGCCGTATAGAGGGAGGCCAAGCAATGCAGTCCCACTGCCAGTGCCCAATAATGACGTGTTGAGAATCACGGAGAGGGACCGGTCCGCGCCGCCTTCGAGACATCGATGGAGTTCGGGATCGTTGGGGTCATCTTCTCCTAAAGGGTACGTCTCTACGACGGCCAGTCTCTCATCATTCTGAATGAAAGCCTCGCCAGCAAGGTGGCCGAGGAATATAGCCGTGAGACCAAAGAAGAAGTATTTGAGCTTCGAGGTCGATGGGTTGCCAATTGAGTCGTACTCGGGATTATTTGTTCTGCCGAACCAAGACGACGACGGCGGCGGTGGCGGTGGTGGGGAAGAGGCAGTGTCTGGCTGGCTGGAGAGGAGAGCCCTGATCTGGTCGGGAGAGAGGGTAGAGAGCTTGGACATGAGAGCTCGCTCCTGGGCTTTTTGGGCGTATTCGCTCTGTGCTGGGGGCGCCGGCGCCGGCGCAGGAGGAACCTTTTGGTAGGGGCGCTTATATGCTCGGCTGGGGAAGATTCTGGAAGGGTTCGCGCGCGGTAGGAGTCGGAGAGCTGGCGGCGCAGGGCGCGACGCGCCGAGGAGGAGGTGTCGAGGGGCGTTGGCTGCCATTGTTGCGTCGGCCGGACCGCGGCGGGGAAGCTGTGAGGTCGAAGACAGGCAAGTGGTCGAGCTTGCGAGTTTTGGGCGCACTGCCAATGCAGAGAAGGGTGTCAATGCCGGGTCTGGCTGCAATGGGCGCTGATGTTGGAGTGTCGTGTCTACACTCTGGAGTTGAACGAGGTCAATCGGAGTGGAGCTCCGGCAGAGCTTCAGCAAGCTGGACGGGAGCTGCGCCAAGTGTTTGTGTGATTGGACCAATCATCCTAAGACGCTCTAACAAAAAGTCAATGCTTCTGATTCCCCCACCACAACGTCTTCCAAACATCTTCACCATCATCGGTAACAAAAAGATAGCAATGCTGTCGACCAACGATCACAGGACAAAAAGGGATGGTCAGTATGAGGGTCGAACTCATGGCCTTCGCATTATTAGTACGACGCTCTAACCAACTGAGCTAACCGACCAGATGTCAAGCCGACATGTTGAAGGCATCATGAGCTCGAATGTGGGATGATTTCTTGATGTTCACCCCTTACAGCACAATTACACATCTGGTAACCTGCTGGCTGAGAAAATAGACCTCAGACGCTCAATTTGAAGTCGTTTGGTCCTTGTTCGAAGCGGTTGTGGGGGCTGTGACTTGTGGGACTCAGGGGTGTGAATGCCCTCAGGGGCTGACTCACTGATGAACCCCTCCTAAAGTACTGCTCTGAATTCATGCATCATGTGCCGCTAGTCTATCCATGTCGAATTCATCTCGAATCAAGGACCCCAACGCGGAGCCAAGTGTCCTCGTCTCTCTTCCCACGAGCTGCTTGGATTCCAACCGTCGGTAATCACGACCACATCAGGTTGCTCCAGGCGACCCAAATTCTCCTGCCTTTGGGCACGGTCGCCTTGCCCGTACCAACTATGGGCTTGAGTTGTGTCTTCTTCTCTCCAACATTCTGGCTGTTGGCTTGTCGCTCGACAAGCACACGGCCAATCTCCATGTAACTCTCCACGGCAACGATCATGGGGCCCCGTGCCACTGTGGGAAGGCCCTGCATTGCCGTTCGGGACGCATGGTAGTCCTCAAAGGCAACTCGCAAGAGGCGGCTTCTCACTTTCTCGACTGCCGCGCTGGTAGGGTCGGCGAGAACATCTTCCGGTGTCAAACCCTCCTCTTTCAACCAGGTCGTCGGAAGATAGACGCGGTTGATGCGGGCGTCGACAATGATGTCGCGGGCAATGTTCACGTATTGCAGCGCAAGTCCCATGCGACAAGCTGCACGGCGCAGAGAGTCGCGCTGAGCTTCGGTGAGGGGTTCTGAGCGAGGACCGTCGCAGCAGTGGTGGAAGACAAGCTCGACGCAGAGTTGGCCGACGGTACTGGCGACGCGAGAAGCGTAGAGCTCCAGGTCCTTCTCATTGGCAATGGGAAACGAGCCTGCCGCTTCGTCAAAACCGAGGTCCATCTTGAAACCTTCCAAGAGTTCATCGAGGGGCCGCTTGGGGAGGAGATGTGCGGGGAGCAGGCCAAGACCCGACAAGGAGGCGGTAGGAAAGTTTTCCGTGGCGTATTTCAAGGATGCTTGGTTCTCTCCGGGTTGCAGAACGCTCGGTTTGCTGTATCTGAGTTCAAGATGCTTGTGCAGCTTCTCGACCCATTCTGCAGATTCCGTGCTGTTTTCCGCATCGTCGACGAGGTCATCAGCTAATCGGCAGTACGAGTACCTGGACGTGTCAGTAGATGCAAGCTTAGTCTTCGTGGAACAACTTACAGCAGGGTCAGATCGATACGGAGACGGCCTGGAAAGACGGAGCTGGCAAGGTGGAAGCTGCGGCTCTTCTTCTGAAGTCTTGCGCAAGCGTGCCGGATTCCCATGATACGGTCCATGTCGTACTTTGCCGGCGACAACACTCTGGCCTGCAGCAACGAAAACGACAGGGCATCCGACGGCATGTCGAAAATGTCAGGGTGAGCGTCCACCACGGCGACTGCTTTGTCAAAAGCCGCGAGACCAAAGACGATCATGAGGTTGGTGACGAGGAAGAACACGGCCTCCTCGATCTCCAAGCTACCAAAGAGGCGCACACCCAGTTTCGTCCCGCTCCCGATGGCCCAGGTCCCGCGACCAAGCGCATTCTCATCAACGATCCAGAGATAAATGGTAGGAAGCAGAACGGGCACAACCGTCGAGGTTAGGGGCAAGACCAAGATGAAATGGGCCGTGATGCTCCATGTCAGCAGGGCGAAAGGTGCCGCCCAGGCCAGGATCAGGCCAAGATATGTGCCGACGCCCCTGCTGGAGATGAGCCAAAAACCAAGCAGCGCGCACACCCCGAGGAATGTCTGTCCCAGAAGCTTCACCCGTGGGATCCACCGAGGCAGAGTCTGGTAGGAATTGAGATGCTGCGCATGAAGGACGGGCTTGTTGAGAATGATGTAGAGCTGGGATGTGATATAGGTTTGGATGAAGAAGAAAAACAGCTCCTCGACGGGAATGGAGAAGACCGTTGGGCCGAGGACGGCATCAGGGGGGTATGACCATATTTGTGTACGGATGAGCTACATTGCCGGGGTCAGCAGGTCTCATGAGGTTGAGGTGCTCCCAACATACGTATGAGTCCCAGGGAATAGTTGCAAGAACGGCAATGGTGACGATAAATACCGTCCGGGCTACATCCAGGCGTGTGAAGAGAGGGTAGCCGAGGAGACCCAAGGCTGCAGCCAGAGGGATGGTGTATTTGAGGTGTCTGCGGTAGAATCAGTCTCTGGCATAAATCTGTTGCACCCTTGAGAAACTCACACGAGGGCATAGTCGTTACCCATGGTGGGCAAGTATTGAGGTTGCTGGTGGGATTGTGCGCTTAAACGCAGGGTCAAGACTGGTGAGAAGAAAGCCGAAGGTCAGCCACCAAGCCGGAGCTGGAGCACAGATATGTGCAGCTCGGGTCCGGTGCGTCCCTGCCAAGCTAACCGGTGCTGGAGATCGCGTCAAGGGTACCGCAGATGAAGATGTGTCAACTTCTTTCCAACGTGGACAGAGAGGCGCAGGGGTTAGATGATGTGGTGATGTCGAGACTTTGGCGCGAGTCAAGGGGTCCGGGAAGTTTGTAGGCAACTGCTGATACCGGTCGGAGGCGGCGGAAGTGAATGTCGGGTTCAACAGGACGCGACAAATACTGTACCTTCCAGAGCCAGGGGTGATACAAAGTTACACACATCTGACATCAAAAATGTCTCCACGTAGACCGACCACGAGGTTTGCCCCTGTCTGACTGCGCTATCGGAAGGTAGGGCTCATCCCAACCACCCTAAAGACGGAGATCTCGGCCTTCGGAGGACTTGGCTCGCCGGGCTGTTATCTCCAGATCTTTGGATCAATTGCGCCCGCGCGAGACGAATAAGGGCGCAGCGGAGCGACGACCGGGGACTAGGTAGTAGGCGAATGCGAATGGCTGACGGTGGCGGGCGCGCGCCGCGCGGGAGACGCAGTTGAGCAGAGGGCAGGGTGAGACAGGGGTTCCGAGAGTCTATGATGCGTTCATGTTGCCCTCAAGACGCGGCTTTGCTTGGCTCGACATGCATGGTTCTACGAAGGAAGCGGTGTCCCGGAAGTGATTCATGGATAGTGACGGACGGTTTACTTCAGTGGGACGAGAATAGCGACGTTTGATGCAGGCCAGCTGGATGTGTACTAGCGGAGGAGGTCGTTACGATGGTGGTCAATGTTTGGAAGGGAGAGAGGTCGATGTTGGAAATATCGCATTTCGTAAGAACTTCCGATGAGTAATCACCCCCCGCCTTCTTGTTGAAATTGCTCCGGAGTGATGACACCGAGACTTTCAATTGTTTGCATCAGCCCCCCGTCAGCTGCATCCTGCCGCAGTCGCACATGTTCCTCCATGCCAGCTGCTCTCACCATGAGCACATGTGTATACCATTTGGGTAATAGAGACTAACCCCCACCCGGACCCTGCGGCTCAACGTGCCAACCCTCCAAGGAGCGGTCGAGGTGTCATCACTTTAGGCTCCGGCTCGATGGAGGGTACACCAGCCCCAACAGGTCCCTTGCGTGCCTGGTATTGCATGTCATCGACATGGAGGTCCATCACTGATCTCGGTCCCGGACGTTATCAGAGTCCGAGGGGTAAGCTGTCGAGCTGTCGACCCGGTAGGATGGAACCATGTGATTCTCCCAAGCGTTCTGCCTTTATGTCTGCCACACCCGTTTTGTGATGTAGACTCGGCCCGTGATCTTCATCTTCATCTTCATCTCATCCTAGACATTACACACTCGGGGTCACAAAGCTTCAACGTCAACCAAGCAATATGGAGAAACACGCTGGAAAGAGAGCAGGGAACAGGTCGGCCATCGTCATTGGTATGTCACTACATCTACAGCTCCTCCACGTCACTCTCGCTCACATTCCCTCCAGGCGCTGGCGCTGGCGGCGTCGCAACGGCTGCACGCCTCGCCAAGTCAGGCTTCGACGTCACCGTCGTCGAGAAGAACTCGTTCACCGGCGGCCGCTGCTCCCTGATACACCATGAAGGCTTCCGCTTCGACCAAGGCCCGTCACTCTTCCTTCTCCCACAGCTGTTCCAAGAGACGTTCCGCGATCTCGGCACCACCATGGAGGGCGCGGGCGTCGATCTTCTCCGCTGCCAGGGCACAAACTACAACATTTGGTTCCACGACGGAGAACTCTTCCGCCACTCCTCCGACCTTGCCGTCATGAAGGAGGAGATTGAGCGCTGGGAGGGTAAAGCCGGCTTTGCGAGGTATCTCCAGTGGCTTCGCGAGGCTCATTCCCACTACGAGGTGTCTGTCAGCGACGTACTGCACAGGAACTTTACCGCCCTGGTCGAGCTCGCCAGGCCCGACTTCTTGCGCCATGTCATCACCCTCCATCCGCTCGAGAGCATCTGGTCCAGGGCTAGCCGCTACTTCTGGACCGAGCGATTGAGGCGCGTGTTCACCTTTGCGACCATGTACATGGGCATGTCGCCATTCGACGCCCCAGCCACCTATTCGTTGCTCCAGTACACCGAGTATGCTGAAGGCATTTGGTATCCCAAGGGCGGCTTCCACAAGGTTATTGAGGCCCTCGTCAAGGTCGGAGAGAGTCTCGGCGTGCAGTACCGTCTGAACACGGGCGTGTCAAGGGTTCTGACCTCGGAGGACGACAGCAAGGCGACGGGCGTCCTGCTCGAGAACGGGGAGACACTGACGGCTGATGTCGTCGTCGTCAATGCGGACCTTGTCTACGCTTACAGCAACCTCCTCCCCAAGACGCCTTCGATCAAGAAATACAGCCGCTCCCTGCAGAAGAAGGAAGCCTCCTGCAGCTCCATTTCCTTCTACTGGAGCGTCAACCGCAAGTTCCCTGAGCTGCAGACACACAACATCTTCCTGGCCGAAGAATACCGCGACTCTTTCGACAGCATCTTCAAGCGCCATTCTCTTCCCACCGA